TTCAGCCACCGTATCTGCAAGGGCTTTGTACTCCAACTCAATTGAAGATCTTGAGACAGTACGCTGTTTTCGGGCAGTCCATGAGATCAAGTTCGATCCCAAATATATAGCAAATCCTCTCGTGGAACGTCGATCATCAGGGCATCCTGCCCAGTCTGAATCCGAGAAGGCATGTAAAGAATCAAATGCAGAGTGTTACCAATGAACATCCGTAAAGGCTTGGAGAGAGGAACCCGAATCATGCCTAATGACACACAAATCTGATGTTTTTCAAACTTTCACCAACTTTGTCAAGATGGTAGAACGACAATTCAATACCAAACTCAAAAGTGTTCAAACCGATTGGGGAGGGGAATTTCGCAATCTATCTTCCTTTTTCTCACCACTTGGAATTATTCATCGTCGCTCATGCCCTCATACTAGTGAGCAAAATGGTTTTGTTGAGCGACGTCATCGTCACGTGGTTGAAATTGGCCTTACTCTCCTTGCTCATGCCAATCTTCCCCAATGATTTTGGCAGTTTGCTTTTGAGACAACCGTGTATCTTATCAATCGCTTACCATCTCGAACCTCATCCAATAGATCACCTTACCAACATGTCTTCAGTCGAAAACCTGACTACACCTTTCTTCGGGTTTTTGGATGTGAATGTTTTCCACATCTTCGTCCGTACAATAGATACAAAATGGATTTCCGCTCTGATACCAAATCAAACCGTGTATTTGTTATTGATTATCTCAAAGATATGATACATATGAACCTAATATATATAGGTTAGATAAATACAATTAGGTACCCTCTAATTTAAGTAAAATACAATGCAACACATAAACTTAGTCTAACAGTAAATCGATTCCGATCTTACGTGGATTGTTTTTCTGTAGGATCGTATGATCGATCGTAAGATCATAGAATCATTAATATTTTTTTTCAAATAAAAAAATCTAATGTTATTCTTGGACTAACTTTGTAGAATATCAATTTTGAATTGTTTATCATTAAATGATGTATTTATTGTTAACTGAATGGCTAACTCATTGATGAATATTTATTTTTTATGTTTTAAAATGTTTTTCGTAGGATCTTATGATCCGATTTAATCTTACGATAACAATCTCGCAAAACAGAAAACACCTATATATAAGATTATGATCTTAACACCATTGGAAGATATCCTATGTGGCTATGTAGCCTTAAAAGTAGCCGCTACTTGATGGTTGTTCATATAGGTAAATGATAATTTGTCTCGTTATTATCGGGAAAAAAAATGGAAAAACGATAGGAAAAAAATCAATCTAAAAAACCAGACCAGGCCACCTCAAAGCCGGTTTTTATGGAAGTCCAGCCTTGGCCCGTTGACTGTCCTAGATGCAGGCCGGGCTTTTAGTTAGAAAATAAAAAAATCTGGACCAGAACATGAACGTGGACCGGGTGAGTAAGTCCTATTTGAACCGGTCTGGGGCGTTGGCGAGTTTTACCCGGATCTACTTGATTCCTAGAGAATGGGTAAGTAGATGAACAAACCAAGAAAACAGAAGTTTCATATAGAAGACGATATAATAGCGGATATTCCCCTCTTTTTATTAGGGTTTCTTTTTTTCTTTTTTTTTTTTTCACTTGGATTTGTTCGATTTTTGTTTGGTCTACGCCTTTCAAGTTTCCATTTTCATTGGATAAGGTTCTCCTTGTCTCTCCATCTCTATCCATACATTACCTGTGAACAGGTAGATGCTAATCTATCGCCTAATTTTATAGCTTTTATGTTGCCGTAATGCTCTTACATTTAATGTATTACTTGTTAAATATGCTTATGTTTCTTCATATCTAATCTGGTAGGGGAAAACAAATTGCTGCACTTCGATTCATGATGTAGAATCTAGTAGTATTTTTCAAAATCAGAAGAACTTTGTTGTTAATTGAACACGACATTCTTTTCTTTTCTTATTGGTTCAATTTTAAAGTCAAAAGATAACCTTTCTCTTTTTCAAACTCATTTCCTCGACCCTGGAAGTATCCAACAGAAGATTAAAAGTTCTGATTTCAGTCAGAATGTAAATGTCGCCAAAAGTCACCAAATTGAATAATTTTCTTTTGCCTTTGGAGGGTTCTCATATGTGAATTGTAAAATCTGCAGGAATTTGCACTCTGGGGACAGAATACAGAGTACATCAAAATCAGGGACTTATAAATGCTTTTAGCTGTATATGATGATTTCATCCCACAACGGATATAGCAACTGGTTCTGTGTCAGCGAGTAGAATTATGCCAACCGGTTCTCTTTCTAAGTTGAATATTCCTCTTGGTTTTGGGCTTCGAAAAGGCATTAGATTGCATAGTAAAAACCAGGTCCAACCAAGTATTCGTTCATCTTTAAAACCAGAAAAAGCCCTCATCCCAAACTCAGATCAAAAGTTTGAGAATTTGAGGAAAGATTGTCAAGTTGCAGGTTTTATCAAGTTACATTCTTGTATCTCTGTATCCAGGTTTAACAGTAGTCAGGTTTTTGGGTACACTAAAAACCCATATTTTCCAAAAACCATGGCTACCTCTGGTTCTGTAACTGCTTCAGGGGATCTGATCGTGGATAATATCATTTCAAGTTGCGGCAATGTGTCAAATTTTGCCCAACCTTCTGGTCACTTTTTTGAAAGAAATACCCGGAGCTTTCATACAGCTAGCATGGGTATGAAAAATAGAGAACCAAGCAAAAGCCATGGAGTTCATGGGTATTTTATATATGGTGTTACTCACATAACAAGCAACATTAATACACCTGGTGGTCGATTGCAAAGAAGATGCAACACCTCCTCTTCAACATGTTATTCAGATGGTGGAGTTTCAGATGAGGTACTGAAAGAATCATCACACGATGAAACAATCACAAGTCTTGCTATTGAAGCCAATGGGTATGCACTATGTACTATGTATTATATACTTCACTTAATCTTATATATTTCTGAATATCTTGATAAATAAAACATATTTATAGCATTTATATTTTTTGGTATCTAGGAAGGGAATGCATGTTAGAACTCTGAAACTATTATCTGGATCTTCATACCTGCCACATCCTGATAAAGAAGCAACAGGTGGAGAAGATGCTCATTTCATTTGTGTTGAAGAGCAAGTAATTGGTGTAGCAGATGGAGTTGGAGGGTGGGCAGATGTTGGAATAAATGCTGGATTATATTCCCGTTCTCTCATGTCTAATTCTGTGAGAGCAATACAGGATGAACCCAAGGAAGCCATTGACCCTGCTAGAGTGTTGACTAAAGCTCATTCAGCCACAAAAGCACAGGGGTCCTCTACAGCATGCATCATAGCCCTCAGAGACGAGGTTTGTAACATGTTTCATTTTAATGATGTTTGAGGAAATATGATAAAATGGGGAAATAAAATCTTATTGCAGGGTCTTCATGCGATTAACCTAGGGGATAGTGGATTTGTTGTGATCAGAGATGGATGCACAGTCTTTCACACCCCTGTACAACAGCACGACTTCAATTTTACTTTTCAGCTTGCGAATGACAATGAAGGTGATCAGCCAAGTTCTGGTCAAGTAAGTTCACCTCACCATTTGGAAATAAGTTGGATGGAGGATTTGAACCAATCCAAAACCCTAAAAATGTTTTTTTTTTTTTTTTTTTTTTTTGATGAACAAACAAACAAACAGGTATTCAAGATTCCAGTGGCAGTGGGTGATGTAATTGTTGCGGGAACGGATGGGTTGTTTGATAATTTATATAACAATGAAGTAACGGCTCTTGTGGTTCAAGGGGTTAGATCAAGGCTAAGTCCCGAAGCAATGGCTAAAAATATAGCGGATTTGGCACGTGTTAAGGCTTTAGACAGGAAACGGCAATCTCCATTTTCTACTGCAGCTCAGGAAGCAGGATTTCGTTATCATGGTGGTAAACTTGATGATATTACTGTTGTTGTCTCATTTGTTACTGCTTCAACCTCAAGTGAGGATTGAGTTTTTTACTTTTACTCTTTTTGAAATGTTACTACTTGTCATAGGGAGCCAAGCTTAGAGAACTTAATGAGGCATATTGTTTATGTTTATCCTTCTTGGGTTTATTTTGATACTAGTTATCTATTTGTTTCTTTTTCTCCTAAATAGGATCGGAATCAAGGTTATTAAGATTGAGATTCTTATTTTTTTTTTTTTTTTGAAAAATGGGAAGAACCTAAAACGTGAAAAGTACATATTCATTGATATGTTTGCAAGTTATAAAAAAAGTTGAAAACATGAGTGAAGTTTAAATTATTTAATGAATTTAAAATTCATTTTTCAGAATATTTAACTTATATCTCAGATAAAGGTCCCACAATTCCAGACTTAAACGTTTCAAGGTTTTTAATTTTAGTTACATGAGGGCGTGTCGACGAATTATTAAAACTTAAGTCAAAAAGTGAAACCATACACAAATAAATGTAGCCTTCTAAATATCTTTGCTTTTCATCTATCATCATTTTCCATAATCATCTATGGGATTTATGTCTTCTAAAACTGTTGGACTTTTAGTGTCTTTTGAGCAAAGTATTCTATTTTTTGAAAGTGTAATGCTTTTTCAAAACATGTCCTATGAGGGTTGTTCAACACATGCTCCTTTTTTTTGTTAATAAAGCATCATATTTATTAAAAGAAATACTATATGTAGCAAGATTAACCAATTTTTTATGTTCATGATCCTCTCCAAGTTTAAATGAGACAAAGGATATGAAGTAAAGGCAAAAAACGTTGACAATATTGTAGAAGTTACAACCATTGACATATTCATATGTAGTCAATGGGGACTAGTAATTATAATGAGTTTGATATCAATCACAGTTCCAAATTTTCTTCAACAAAATACACATGATTCACAATAACTTAAAGAAAGTTTCATTTTCTTCCCTTTCAACATCACAACTTTCTTTGTCATTTTTCACTAGAAGTTGGTTAAAACCAACCCAAAAGTTAATATAACATCTCAGTTACATATAAAGATAACACCATCAATAACAGTTTCAAACTAAAGATCATGTATGTTCAAATAATTGGAGGAATGCATACATTAAAGAATGGAATCTATACAATAAATCCAAAAATATGAATGTTATTTTGTCCCAAAAAACCCGAAACAAAAAAGAATGGTATCTATTTACCCGCATGCCTGAAATGGCATGAAATAAATTTAATGGAAAACTTGAGGGGATGCATAATACTCGCTTTCTTTAAACACGGGTCTTAGATCTTCTTTGCACATAAAATCTGAAGGAAAAGAAACAAGATGGCCTCTTACACCCTCTAATCTATCCATGGGGTCACTTCCTTTAGCATTTCCATCTTGATATGGTTCCAACTTCTTTGGAGCTATTCCTATGTCAATGGTAGTATGCCCTATTTTTCCTTTCAATTCACCCATACGTTGCCTCAAAGATGCTCTGTGCATTAGTTCACATTTTACAAAGCTTCTCAATCAATACAATCTTGGATAGTGTTTCTACTTTACTTAATCAAGACTAACAACTTAATCTGAAAAGCTATAAATAATATATGTGTGTTTCTTATTTACTTTATATAAAAAACCCCGACTTCATAGAGAAAGTAAACCTTTAAGTCTTAATTGCTTATAAAATTTCCCCGATTTAATGGGAAAAAATAAGATAAAACAGATAGAATATCGTACCTGGACTGTATGAGATTATTAGGAATGCAAGAGAAGACATCTTGGTAGATCATGGTATTTTCCTGTTAATATAAAAAAGAGTAAAACATGAAATTAGAGAAGAATTATTCCTGAAAACAATTGGTAATATTGTTTTCAAATGACTTAATGGTTTAAGCACTTAATCTGGACAGCTAATGATGACTGCTTCTTTTTTACTTAATCCGGACAAAATGAAAAGAAACATGGCCTAACTCTATAAAGTCTTGAAATGATGTACTCTTTTTTAGTTTTTTACCTCAGCAGTTGCCATCCATATGTCTTTGTAGGTAGAATCAATTACAGGGTCAGCTATTTTGTGGATCTAGAAAAATAGATATAAGCATAAAAAATTATTATACAGAAATAAAAAGTGGAGGAAAGTGGAGGGACGAAAGAGGTAACATTGATTTAACAACCAACCAACCTCACTACCATGAAGACCGAGGTGCTCAGACCATAGTGAAAGACGAAGACTCAATGCAAATTTCCCAGCCTTCCATGGGTTGCCTCCCATATACGATCCAACCACCTCTTTATCTTCAATAAGTACTCCAATCTGGATAAATAGTCTTATTAATGTTACTTCAAAACAGAAGGTGTATTTTGTAGGTTGGACATGAAGTAGGCCAATGATTTTCTCTATACAGAAAAGGTGGAATTATGAAAAAGAAGCATCATATGAACTTATGCAAAACTTTTACCATTTCATTGATGCACCTACATAACTATTTTCTGTTGTGACTACACCATTATACTTTTTTGACCAATTATAAAGAAAAATCCTGGTTACCTGGTTTTGATGTAATAGTATCAGGAAAAAAATATATATTGAAAAGGACAAGGTACTTTTTACCATCTTATTGAAATGGGAACTGAACTACTATAAAACAATAGCGGTGTATTACAATTTTGGTCCCTGTATATAGCTCATTTTTCAATTTTGGTCCCAAAAAGTTCTCTTGAAGTTTCTGTCATTATTTGAGGGTTTTGTAACATTTTTGGTCCATGTTCCAAGTAAAATGACTATTTTTGTACCAAATTTGCAAAAATCAGCTATACTCACAGACCAAAAATAATAATTTTACTTGGAATATGGACCAAAAGCATTACAAAAACCTCAGATAAGGATGATAATTGCAAGAGAAAACCTTTTGGGTTCAAAATTTTAAAGACTAGTTATACTCAAGGACCAAGAATGTAATTCAATCCAATAATAATCATAAGAAAAATAAATACTTCGTGGTTAAATGGATAAAATGGTGAAATAACTTGCTGTTCTGTATTTTGGCCTTCTCCAAAACCAGGTAACTGGGAAAATGGTTTTTTTAAAGTTAGAAAAAAGTATAATGGTTTAATAACTACAAAAAATAGTTAAGTGCTTAAATCAATAAAATGGTGAAAGTGCTTTTTTTTTTTAGTTTTCTGTGTATTTAAAATCCATAACCATCATAAATAATGGCATAAAAAAGTTAAAAGATGATTGTGGGAAAGAAATGATGCATAAATTACCTCGGAGTCACGCAATCCAAGTAAACTCCTATCATTGATATTAGCTGACCCAACCAAGGCTGCAGTATCATCTACTATCATGATCTTGCTATGTACATATACCTACATTAGGACATCACATGTAAATTAACAATGTACATAAGACCACACTAAATCCTCAAAATGATAGTTGACCATGTCAAACTTCAACCCCTTTTGCATTCTATGTTCAAGTTTAGAAGACAACGGTATAAAGATTAAAGTTTTCTGTCCTATCCATAAAAAGTGAAGTAATTTTAGAAAAATACCGGACTGGAGGCAACAAGACCATCATTAGAAAGTCTACCATAAGACCTCAGACCATAAAAAGATATGTAGTCATCAACAATGGGACCAAGTCGATCAGAGAGATTATGCAATATGGAATTGGGTCCTCTTGATATTGTTCGATATTGCCAATGCATAATAGCCCTTACAGATGCTGCACCACCATCATCTAGTCCACCCTGTAGCACTTAATTTAAATGAACCAAAACAAACAGAAAGCTATGAATATGTCTGTTGATAAATGGCCAAGAAGATTATAAGCACCTGGAATCCAGGTAATAGTGGTATAACAATGATGGCCCTAAAACACTGCCTTTCTTGATATGCCCGCATAATGCGCTTGTACAAGGCATCCAACACACGATTTCGTATGATCTCATCCCCAGATAGACCTGAGATGAAAAATTGGTTCTGGGCACAAATTGAATCAGATATAAGTTACAACAGACTTTTAATGATGGATGGCAAGTATTAATAGTAAAAGTTCGTGCAACCATGGAGAGAGTTTAGACCATTTGAGTTCTATGTAACATAGTTAACAAAGAAACGTCGCATACCATAGAGAAATTCACAAAGAAAAACTATGTTTTTTTAATTGTCAAAAGGGCACTAGGGTTACGTTACCCCTTCAGTGACCAACATTTACCCTTTGGTATCTTTAAGGTATACCCTTCAAAGCATGTTATTTATTAAATCCATTTTACAGAATTCGACCATTAAAAAGATCTTAAAAAATTCCCATATACCTCGATGTAGACCAAGTGTTCTGCTTTCTCAATAAGGGAACAGTAAGCATTGTGAATGCTCCCTTCAACTTGACTTGTCCCAGCCGACCAAAGGCTCACACTCCTTATAACCTATAATACATCCGATGTCTCATTAAGTTCTGTATGGGTAAAGTGGTTGAATGGATAATGATGTCTGCATGGATAAAGTGTTGTATACATTTGACCTGTTTCTTTTTTGGATTGAATAAACTGTATGAATGACACTAAATGACCATCTTAGCCTTACATTCACAAAAACAAATTTCACAATTTTCATCAGTTTTCACATGAGAGGAGTCCGGAGGAAAAAAGAAGGGAAAATAGGTAAAGGGTTAGCATCTTGATACATTAAGCCATTATGTCCAGATTAAGTAAAAAAGAGACAGATATGCATAGTTGTCTAGATTAACTGCTTAACCCATTAAGCCCATTGAGTCAAAAAAGAAAGTCACCTGACAGCGACACGTAACACGAGGACCAACCTGCCCACTTTCATCTGCAGAAACAACAAGATTACCTCTCTCCTGACTCTCCCACCATTCTCTATCATGAGACTTCATGGGAGGGTGCACAACTGTAACAGAAGACCTCCCTTGTTCATCTACAAACCCTCTCATTGGCATATCCATAAACAAAGGTGCAATTTTGGATTTTCTAAATGAAAAAGGAGCCCTTGGAGGCCTACTTGGCTGAGTCTGACCATGAAAATTATTATTTGATTTACCCAACCCACTTTGTCTTAAATTTCCACTAGCAGAATCAACTCCATCAGCTTCTTGTGGGATTAGCAATGGGATGTCTTGAAAGGCAGCAAGAGAGGAAAAAGAATCCTGTCTGTTGATTGGTTGGGTTGCATTCATGAGTCCAGTATTTCCATCTTCTTGTTCTCTACCAGAACCCATGTAATGTGGGATAACCATGTGTTGTTGAGGCATAAGTAGTGGAATTGTTTGCTCATTGGGAGCTTTATTTCTCTGAAAGAATTATACCCAAATCAGGCCACAAGAAAACATTTTGACCATAAACGTTTTACCTTTAAGAAAAAAAAAAGCAAAAACCTTTGCATAATTCCAACGCTGAACAAAGTGGCGAGCAATATCACGACATGGTGGTCCCCACAAGGCACAGTGGACATCATGCCATGGCATACGAGGATATCTTTCACGATTCAGTTCATCCTTCATAGTATCTTCCCAAGAATTAGGCTCAGATTCCCTGTAAAAATTTGGATCAATTTCTTAGAGGGAACTTTCTATGGGACATATCCAAGTGACTTCCTTTATCATGATTTAGGGGTTGTTTCTTTTTCTCCCTTAAGCACTCTATGGGTAAAGTGGCTCAACAGGTAATGATGTTTATCTGGATAAAGTGATGTATACATAAGGTATGTTTCTTTTCTAGACCTAGACCGAATAAACCGTCTAAATGAAACCAAATGATCATTTTACCATTGCATTCCAGAAAATAAATTCCATAATATACATCAATACAAAAAGTATTCATCAATTTTATCGCGAGATGAGTTGAGAGGAAAAGAGAAGAAGGGAATATAGTTGAAGGGTTAGTGTCTTAATACATTAAGCCATACTTTTTTTTGGCATAACCCATTAAGTCATTTTGTCCCGATTAAGTCAAAAAGAAAGAGTCATGTATACTATCCAGATTAAGTGCTTAAAACATTAAGCCTATTAAGTCAAAAAGAAGCAGCCCCTTAATGGAAGACACCTATTCGGCTATTCATATTCTTATTCATGTATGATAGTAAAAAGAAGAATTACCTTGGGTTATAGTAGTCCTTTCCAGGCCATATCGTAGGAGGATGATCACCCACTTTGTGCTCATATGAGTCATAACGACCAAAGCAAAGATCTAATCCACCAATAAAGCATACCTCATAATCAACAATGACCAATTTCTCATGATGGGACCTACGTTTTACCATAAGTAAACGAATTAGTTTTCAAAAACAATAAGAAAAACCAAAATATTAAACTTATACAAATTGCAATGTAGACCACTTACCATAGATACACACCACTAGAGAAATGGTCAGGGTAACGTAAAACTCTGATATTCTCATGAAGAGCTGCCAGCTTTTTCTTACTAAAAAAGCTATTAATTTTGAGCGCAAGAGCAAGCTCTTTGTACATGAGAATATAAATCTGCATTTAAAAGTTTTAAACTGTAAAGTTCCATAAACTCTTTCATGGATCTAATAATTCGGTTCAAAAGAACAATTAAGTCTACCTGAACACCTTGCTTAGCTCTTGCCTCCAGTAAAGCATCAAGGCGAGAGGATGCATTTGCATGAAAAGGACGCCTCAAATACAAATCTGGGCACAACCACCATCCACACATAAATATCTGCATGAAGACAATAATCATATTTAAAGGCGTTAATAAAAAAAAAGAGAGAGACTAGAAATGAATTTGAATTAAGATAACATTACAAGAAAAGAACCTCTGATTTTGCCTCTTCAATTGCTAAAGCAATTGCATCAAAAGCTGCACGACCATCAACAAACCACTGAGCTTGACTATCATCATCAGTCAGACCACGAGGTGGAGCAAAAGAGCCAAACCGGTGAGGATGACACCAGCCCTCAGGTGGCCGGAGTCCAGCATCATTAATGGCAGCAACCCATGATTTTACTTTAGCTTTATTTTTACTTCTTAATCTTATTCTTCGATTCCCACTTGACACCTAATGTCATTTTCAAGATCAAGAAGGATAATTAAGTATACATGTTTTCTTTTAAGCATGTTGTGTGAGGTGAAAGGAACAGAAGGGTAAAATGGTCATTTACTCAGATTCAAACAGTTCATTAGACTTGCCTCAAATGCATGGCGTAAGGGGTTATGTTCATTGATTTCAAGTGCTAATGACACTCCGTTTTCCCCATTCGCATTTGATGAAGGTAGAACATCAAAAACAATAATATCTAATGGCTCCTTGTCAAACGGATCTTTTAACAGGGCCAAAAAACCCGGTTTAAGAACAGCCCAAACCTGCTGCCAGTTGTCATTACAGCAGCTGAACAAATGACAAGCAGAACACATTCTACTGTCATCATTACTTGGAAATTTCGGTAAATGTCTCACAAGTACATATTCTTCTTTATGTTTTGAGCCATATTCTGGACAAAACGATAACTTAGAAGCCTCCATAAACCTGCAAACCTGCATTGAAGATTGTTCATGTCAATCAAGATTCAAGAACTTATTATATATGAGTAGAGATGAAGAAAAGCATTAATTAATTACCTCTCTAGAATTTGCAATGTCCAGGTTCCCAAGAAAATGATTTAAATACCCCTGCATTGATTGCTTTGCTTGGTCTGACATGGAATGTTGTCTTCCAAGAGCTGGGCGAATGATTGGCAATGCTGCTCTTGATGGAACATCTCTGAACAAAAAACCACCTGTAAGAACTATAATCATTATAGCAAGAAAGGATGAATTAACATTTAACACATCCACCAATCCTGAAAAGATTCAAGATATTCAGCAATCACCTGTTTCTGACACTCTCATCATTGGTTACTGGTGTGACATCATCATCGGGCTCTTCATCATCACCATGCACAACTGCATGATGATCCATGATTCCTAGATTTTGAAGCCATTCTCTGACCTTCAAGAGGAAGACCACTGTAAGGTCTATCTAACCCCACTTCGCCACAATTTTATTTTATACTAAATAAGAAGATAAACTCACCTGCTCTTGTTTTTCATGGATTTCTTCAATGATGGCACGTTTCTTCAATGCAAAGTGTAAATAAAATACATGTGAAGCCTTCTTCACTAGTTGCCACTTAAACTGCAATCCCATGGTAAACACATTGAGTAAATCAGTAAAAACGGAAGTGAGTGATGAATTTCAATCTGTTATACGAAAGTAATTTATTATAACAGTAAACGAACGACATAATGTTGTTAGAATGAAAACCTAATCACTTGATTTAGCTTTATTTTGAAACATTAGAGGACGTGTCCTACAACAATGCCAGTCATTATCAGAAAACTGTGAATCTCAAATTAGAAGGGTCCACATAGCAAAATTGGAATCTTGAAGGACAAATTTTTATTAAGAACACGTCTCTGTTTGCGCGCTTTAATGTCATAAATCGTATCATAACTGACTAATAAGATGCATTGTTGGGGCTTTAAAAAACAGCTTTATGAAAGAACGCAAAAGAAAAACAACATAAACGTGATTGTTACCATCATGATTCATGAAGATATATTACATAATACAAGACCTGTTTGTATTCGAAGTCAATAGTGTAAGTCAGGAGCATGGGGCTAATATCACCAGCCTCATTACGAGATACTTGAACGATTGTAGCATTTGGCAGCTCATCGAAAATTCGACTTGCCTCAGGCGGGTTCTGAAGCGAGAAGAACGACGACATCGCCGATTGCTCCGATTGCATTTGCGAGTAACGAGACCCGCTTCCCCCCTCAGGCATTAATTGTTCCGATGCCATCTTATCGCACAATTCCGATCAAAATAATACGATAATCATCACCAAATTAAAGATTACGAACGTGTATTGATTTATACAAGTCTTTTTGTTTGTTGTTTGAGATCAAAAAGTGAGATTGAATCTGATAATTCAAACGAAAGAACGAAAAAATTGGTTAGTGATTGAAGAAAATCGCCAAAACCATGGAAAGTGATTATGATTGTGTTCCGAAGCACATTGTACGTGGATTATGGATGGGTCCCGATCTTTACGTCGGGTCGGGTTTGGCTTTTCTGCTTTCTCTCTATTATGGACGTCGCACCGGTTTATGTCTACGACGCGGCCTACAAACAAATTCAACCTTTTCCTCGTTCTCTTATTTGTTTTTGAGTAAATTAAACGAATGGTCCCTATGGTTTGGGGTAATTTGCGCACTTGGTCCCTAATTTGTTTTTTAACTTGAAAAGTTCCTATTGTTTGTTTTTGTTACGCGCTTGGTCCTTACTATTTGTTTTTGTTACGCATTTGATCCCTATCTTACCTAAAAAAACTATTATTTAAATAAGCAAAAATGATGGGATGGGTAATGTAAGGTGATGGGGGTTTGGTTGAGGATATGTTTATTTAAATAAATTCAAAAGTTAATGGTAAAATAGTATTTTTAGGTAAGAAAGGGACCAAACGCGTAATAAATAAACAGTAAGACCTTCCAAATTAAAAAAATAAATTAGAGACCAAAAATGCAAACTACCCTAAACCATAGGGACCATTTGTGTAATTTACTCTTTGTTTTTAATTTTCTTTCCTTTTATTATGGTATCTAATATTTTATTTTTTTTAGAATTTCATATATACCTTTCTTAAATATCAAAATATCATATTTACCCAACTTAATTTCTTAATATCATATTTACCCTTCATAAAATTTCTAAATATCATATTTACCATTCATAAAATTTCAAAATATCATATATATCCTTTTTAAACATCATAATATCATATATGCTCTTTTTAAATATCAAAATATAGTATATGCACTTTTTAAATATCAAAATATTAATGATAATATCTAAAATATTCTTCATCTACAGCATAATCAACAAAAAAAACTAAACAATCAAAATATACATTCTATAGAGAGAGTTGAAGATGAATATTTTTGTTTGTCAAGAGGACGGCATTCTAACAATTTAGAAGTTCACATTCCATTATCATAGACGTAAGGACAATATCGTTAAATTTTTTAATTATTATATTAATTTTAAGTTATAAAAAATGATTACAAAATATTAAAAACATTATAAAAAAGGATTTGGGCAAATATGATATTTTGAAGGTTTATGAAGGATAAATATGATATTAAGAAAATAAGCTGGGCAAATATGATATTTTGAGGTTTAAGAAGGGCATATATGAAATTCTCCCTTTTTTTTAATATCATACAAAAAAGATAGTATTGTACTTTGATTATTTTAGACAAAATTGCAAAAATATCTTTGTGGTATGCGTTTTTTTTTTTTTTTGGTTGTAGTCCAAACCCCAACTTTTTGGATTGATGATCTTTTTAAACTAGTTTGCTTGCAGTTTTAGTTTCTATCCAAACTAAAAAAACTATTATATCTTAAATGAATTTATTTTTCATTTTTCTTTCACCTTTTAATATTATTAAGTTTGGGAGTGTAAGAGTGCATGAATAAAATTTACACTATATTTATTCAAAAGAATTCAATTTAGTGCTTGTTACTTGTTCAATTTCACAAAACTATTACGAATTTTGCAAAATAGATAATTTGAATGACCTAACCTTAATTCAAATGGCCAATAAGAATCACAATTGGAATCAAACATTCGATTGAAGCAAAAATCAAATTCATTAGATAGAAATTGAAAACAAACATCATGTCACATGATTGAAATCATTACCAAGAAGTCAAAACATGAAATTGGAGAAACTAGGGTTCTAGCCACACATGGCTAGAACAAGATCACAATAATAAAAGATGGAATTAAAGTGCAATTACAACTTACAAATACTAGAAATAATATTTCCAAATGATTACTAATCAAACCCTTGCAAAAACCTTCGAAATCCCCTCTCAAAATGTGCTATGATATGTTGTGTCTGTGTAAAAATGGCCCTTAACCCGGAATATGAAATATAGGAAAAATTGTCAAAAGTTGGTTTTTGGGTCGAACACGGCCCGTGTTGGGCATAGAGTAAAACTAACACGGACCGTGTTTAGCATGGTCAACAACTCCCATTTTGGTCAACACGGCCGTGTTGATTTTTCAGTGTAAATCCAACATGGCCCGTGTACCCCTCTGACTCCGAATCCAAACTTGATTTTTTCAACTTTTTCGTTCTTCGCGCGATCATCCCGAAATCTTCACCAATGCTTCTCGGCACCTCCTAAAGCGTGTTCCAACCTCCGGTTTACCTGAAAAAGACATGAAAATGTGCAAATAAGGTTATTCTAGAGACTAACATGAAATATGATGAAATGCAAGACAAATGAAGGACAATTATGCTAAATAGATGCATAAAATAGGACTAAAAGGTATGCAAAAAGGTGCATAAATTGCACCTAACAACTATTCTTTTGTATGTATGTTCACAAATATCAAATGTAGCGACATAAAATATTATTTGGCAGCGAATAGACAAATGAAAAATGTAGCATCATCTAATATGCTTTGATAGCTAAGGGTGTTGGAAAATAAAAATTAATTTGTTGGAAATATTCTATTGTTTGTACACATGAGAGTGAGATACATGAAATTTCATCAAAATTGGGTATTGTGCTTTTTATAATGGGTAGAACAATGTCCCATTGAAAGAAAAATATGCACGCATAGCACCAAGTAATTTATTGATGTCATATTCATCTGTTAACAAAAAAAATAACATTGTACACCACCTCACTTTGAATGCAATATTTATTAAAACCAACAATCAATACAACTTTTGGAAATTAGTATTTAATATTTACCAATAAAGTGAGGTCCGCAGTTACATAGGAAAAAAGTGACTTTTAACTACATAAAAAAATTAATCTTTGCATATTATAAACTTTTGCAACAGTAAGTAAACATTGGAATGTAAATTTCAACAACTAAGTTCATTCCAACAAATTCTATGATGTCAACCGATAAGGAAAATGTGTAAAATGACGACTTCCACTGTTTCGTATTGGACTAGATTTGGACTTCATTACAAGTAACAATCCATCAATGTGACTTGTAAGTCAATTGTCCGAAAGATCTTTTCCTTTCCTCTTTCCCATGCACGAAATCTGATTTTAGATCGTACAATACCAAATTTATACTTGAAAGTCAAGGGCATTACTATAGATAAAAACCCTTTTATTCTGGTGCCTTCTAAAAAATTGAAGGGGTTCAATATATTCCACGTATCCTAGTGATGGAAGACATGTGCTACAATTTATATAATATATATTCTCATGAAGGTTGGTGTCATATCTGGGTCTCTATCCAAACTATAATTGACCATAATTTTCCTGAACTACATGTATATTTCTAATTGTGTGATTGCAACACATCAGGTTCTCATCAAATTAAAAAAAAAAACGAAATAGTCTTTACATCGCAATTTGGTTTCTCATGTTTCTATGCTTCCATGTGTGAATATACATCTGGTCAACAGTTTTCCTCCAAAATTTTCAAAAAAAAAAAATATATATATTAAGACAAGTAGTATGTAATAGTTTTTGGTATCTTGGAATTTGTTTTTGAGTTATGAATATATACAAAATGGTGTTAATGGAATATTTGTATAATAAATTCTCATAAAATCAACTTCCCAATTATTAATATAGGATGGTCAATTGTTGATCGGCATTAAGTACTTCTGAACTATAATTAACATGTCTGCAATTTGTCTAAACTGCATGAATATTCCACAAGAAAAAACACTTCAATATAGTAACAACTACAACACTGATCAATGGAACACCACATTATTTAATTAAAACTCAGTGCATGCAATATGTATGCAGAAGAGCAATGTCGTCGTCTTGAAGACATGGTTTGGGGTTCAAATCCGGGCATATGCGAATTAACTAACTTGGTGAATTCAACTTATAGTAGCTAACGAACCGTTCAAAAAACAAAATTAAGATGTTTTATATTTGCAGACGTTAATCAACTCCATATTTGTTTTTATAACAAGTTCAGTAATGGAGTTGTGAAGGAAGTTGTCCCAATTCTGGTATGACACTCTTTTTAAGTCAAAAGGTAATCACTATAGAAAATCGTTGAGTGGCTAAATCAATAAAATTGTATAGTTATATCAATATTGAAAAAGGTTTTAGCACACCTATGATAGAGAAATCAATGGGCACGAACGAGTGACTAAAGCCTTGAATAGAGAAAACAAAGATGGTATTTTGTGATTAATCCCAATACACCTATGATGTTCTAAAAATAATGTTGATCGGTTTCCAGTAATATGAAAAAATCTACCAGGAATGCGTAACGGACTTTCATATGTTTTTTTTATTATAACAATGTACTTTCATTTTCATTTTCTTATTCATACATTGCACATTGAAAACAAACCTATTTATAGCATTTTATTTTCACTTTTTTGGTTGTCAGCACAATATACTTTAGACAATAGTACATGAAATACCTAAATTACTCTCAATGGGTCGTGCTTAGCAGGGTCCTAAAACATACCTAGTATCTATATATATATATATATATATATATATATATATATATATATATATATATATATATATATATATATATATATAAACCCTTTTATTCTGATAGCCTCTAGTACAAATTCATAGGGTTAGAACACATCCACATAACCTATTTCCAAACATCACAATCTACCTACACAACGCTTAAATCCTGATTGAATTCAGAATGCATCCTGAAAGTGACCTTTTACCAAAAAACGATTTAGTCCTTCCCCACCGTCACACCTTTTCCAACTAACGCTAAAGGAGAATATAAATACTCATCTATTCTCCACCTTTCATTCACGCGTATCTTCCTCTTCCAAAAGAATCGGACTACCTTCTCCACATAAGAAAAAACCCTAACTAAGAGACCAACAATTTAAAGCTCAACACTTTATTCAACGCAAAAATTGCCAAATCCAAATTAAAGAAGAGCAATCGTCTGATGTGGCATTCTTTTCCATAGGTACATTACCATTTATCAAGAATCCTAATATCATTTTGCTTTCCTTCAGTTTACATTACTCCAACCGAATGATTAC